GTAAAGCGTAAAGCCGAGTAAAATCGTAAAGTGTGGGGATCGCAAGTTCAAAGGCCTCGAGAGAGTCGATGTAATAGTAGAGCAAAGTGGAGAACTTTCGATTAATAATCCACTGCACAGACTGGACGCGCTGGTTAGATTCAGAGATTGTTACGGGGATTAAATTTATACCTCAAGAACGCAAAATCAAATTTGCAATTATAACATTAATCGAGATCTTCCAAGATTCACTACTGCTGCTTCTATGATCTCTTTACTAAAAAAGTTCTTTTATTTCTTATAAACTGTGCGTCTAATAATTTTATTGATAAAAACATACTGCGATTTATAAAAAAAAACACATTTATTTAAAGTCGGAAAAATTATTTTATAAGTTATAATAAGTTATTTTTTTTATTATAGAGATGTATAGTGCAATAAATATTTTATTTTTTATATTATATTTTATCATTTGTATTATTTTTTGTACTTAATTTCTATGATAAATACATATAACGTAACCTAAAAAGTGACTTATAAGGTGACTTTTTAGGTTTCTTTCTGCATTTATTATAATGAAATAATTGTTGTAGAATTTGAAATTTAATTGGTCTCGAAAACTGACGATTGTCGCGATTTTTTATCCCTACTGTAAAAGCGTTCGTCTGTAATTTTATGCCTGTAATTCGTCGATAAGGTGTACGACGCGTCATGCCATATAGGAGGAAAGTACTGCACGATCCGTTTTAGTGTCATCCGTTTTACAGGTTTTATTCGTTTTACATTTCAATAATTCTGTTGGCGATTGAACTCCTTTAGAACAACATTTCATGCACACACGCGAGTGATTTATTAGCCAATTGCATGCTTCGTAATTCAATCATGTGATATAAAATCATGTTTTATCTTTACATTAACAATGCATAATGCAGGCGTTTGTTTAACCAAATAATTTATAAATCAATAAGTGAATTCTCTTTGTAGAGACATTTGTTTTTTGATCTTCCATAATAGCACAAAATTGTCGCGCGAATATATGTTAAATTGAAATATACGATTGATATAATAAAATTCTCGTTCGATGCGTCAGCGATTCTGTCGCCCATTCCAGGCGACACGCGTCCACGAAGATGAGACGCAGAATTCGCGAATACGTCGCCGATGAAAATTACTCGTTATGCCCTGGAGAAATTACACGCAGGACGTCCGACGACGTGAAGTGAAGTATGATGACGATTGCCGTTAGAATAAGCGGATAAACTCCGTTCCCTCTCTTTCCAAACCTTCTCTGACTTCTCCGTTACCGTATAATGACTAACAATTCTTCCGCGCGAGCCGTTGGAACAATGCAAACAATACAGTGATATGAGAAAGTCGGTTTGCATTGTCGGACAAACCACAGACAGGGCTCCTCATTTTCCCTCCTTCGCGCCCCTTTCGCTTTTCCATCCTATTCGTCTGTATCCATCGCGATCTGTGGTAGGTACATCTACCATCCATCCATTCTTCTCTCTGATCTCCCCATCTCACTTTGTGCTATACAATATATAACAACACACAGTCGTTCGCGTTTTGTCCGTTTCTGTACGCGTATATAGATATCCCAGCTTAACTTTTTCTTCCATCCTTCTCTTCGTCGCTCTTCGAAAGACGCGGAAAGAATCGTACGCCGCTGAATAGGCGTTGATTCCGGAGCGGAGCCTGCTCCCTTCGACGTCTCTTCCGCCATTTACGCGCGCCGCGCCGGCAGCACTAAGGGTTTTACGGGTTTTATCTTCTTATTCTTCATCGGTAATTAGTCAGTGCTGACTAAGTTTGTCGGGTACCATTATTAGCTGCGCTGACTTTTCGAAATTATGAAGAGTGAAACGATAATTTGCGAATTATTCGTCGATAAAATTTTTCTGAACCGTATGACGTAAACGGCTAAGCTGTATTATAAAATAATGCGTCATACGAAACTTGAGATATTTAATACTCGTATTTTATTTAAACAGAGAAAATATCTAGAGAGAGAGAGAGAGAGAGAGAGAGAGACTTAAAATACATATTGGAAATTGTGGTTTACGTATAACATGACATATTTTTGATAAATTAAATAAAAATGCATAAATTTGCTTTATAGAAACGTTTATTTTATATTTCATTTTGTTTTTTATAATAATCCATTTCAATATGAATAATCGAAGTAAATTTTCACTTAACATCCCTATATAAAACCGTTGTATAATATATAAAATTGTACATATTTTACAAACGTAAAAGACATTTTTATATTATAAATTAAAGCTTTTCCAAAATTCCTATATATTTTCATTCTGATCTGTCTTTGTGCGAAGTTCTATGTGTATATAAAAATTCTAGATATTATATATTTAATATCTAATTGTGCGGATGACATCCGGAAGGAAACCATCGCTGGTTTCTCTTCGAACAACTAATGGCAACTACGTTGTTCCACGAAAGTACCGGGTGCACTGGACGGAAGGACGGAACGTGAATAAAAGCGGCACTTGAGGCAAACTAGAGGGAGAGCGAATTCTCGAAGGATGTTGACACAAAACATTATACGGCTGGTCGCCGCGCCCTCGGTCTCGTCTCGTCTCTTCAACGGCCGCCTGCTAAGAAGCACAAGTACGCGTCTTTGGGGATACGCTTGTGATGACGTTGAAGGTTGACGTGATGTTACGCTTCTAAGTCTGTCAGCGTATCATTTACAACAGCCGAGCTGATGATTATCTCTCTCTCTCTCTCTCTCTCTCTCTCTTTCTCTCTTTCTCTCTCGATCTCGCTGAGTATCCCTAGAGAGGGTGTGTAGTTGAGTACGTGCCAGAGTAGATGTAACCCTTAGCTACGCATTCACTCGTCCCTCCACTCACCGTCCATTGTTTAGCTATTTCGATGAGCCAACGTATTTCGAGTGCGTTCGACGTGGCTCGATCTGTTTCCGTAATCTGGATCTGTCATATAATCAAATAAGAACGTAGGATTTTGAAAATTCGTTAAGTTTTACATGCCGGAAGAACGTCGAATCGATCGAACATCGTAAAGTTACGAGAAGAACGCGTGTATCCATCAACATAGGAATAAAAAAAAAAAGTAAAGTTCGCGCGATTAATCTTTCTGATATGACGCTCCTATTACGTTCGTAATCCAATCCGATTCAAGAAGAAACGAGATCAGAGATCCGAGATCGTATTTCTGATATATGCTACCAATCTGGGGGAATTCCCGGTAACGATCGAATCGTAAGACGACCGATGTACGTCAGAGGGTTGTACGGACAGTGGTGGAATTATAACGTGAACCGGAGGAGCTCATGGAAGATGAAGAGTTAACTTTTTATGCGAGGCACCTTCCCATCCTGCTCTTCCTTCCGCGGGAAAATGATTACGAAGGCTCGGGGTGAATGTAGGTCGCAAGATATATCCAATCGCAGGTCCGCAGTGCACTGGGTATCCGGGCGATGGTGCAGCACGCTCGACGTTAAGATTCGAAACTCTGCCGGCTTTGAAGAAAGAAAGACGGAGGCGAGAGAACGAGAGAAAATAGGAGGGAAAGAGAGAGAGAGAGAGAGAGAGAGAGAGAGAGAGAGAGAGAGAGAGAAGAAGAGGGTGTGAGAGTAAGGCAGGAAGTAAATCTTTGCTGGGTACTACAGCTTTTATAGGAGAGAGTCCGCGATTTTCTTTTTCGAGAAAACGATAACTTTCCGGATTCGAACGTGCGCGTCCGAGAGACGATGCCACGAGGGTGGGGAATCCGCCAAGCTACTAGAAACGTTGCCTTGGCTTATAGGAGATAAGTAATCAAGATTTAAGCTCGCCAGGCTCGCGTAAGGGAAGGAAATTGCCAACGTAAGCGCTCATCGGAGACTCGGACCAAAACAACTTCCGACCTCTCGCTACTTTCGGCTGTATTCGGCTACTGAGAGTATCTTGGACTCGAGCCTGCGCCAGGCAGATAAAAGCACATAGTTTTAGTAAAATCAAGCTGTCTAACTGTGTGTGTGTGTGTGTGTACTTTGACTTGTAAATTTATAGTTAGCGTATACAAGCCGATATAGTATCGTTGATAATTCGTGTCACGACTGCGACTCGCGGGTGCGATAATAATTTTTTTTTTTTTCATAATACCGCATTTGCGTAATTTGTTCAAAGTTTCGCACGTTGAAACTTTACGCTAAAATATCCGTGCGCGCCCTGAAATTCCTAAAACGCGCTGCCTTTGACGTACTTCGATCGCGATTTCGTCGGAAGCACCCCACGCGGAAACACGCCACGAGCGCGCACGTCATTCGTTGCACGTTCTGCAACGTGGATAGTCCGCACTTGGTCGGGCCAGCTTCCAGATGAGCAATGCTGGAGGGAATGCGGAATACATCGGGAGCGAACCGGCATTCCTACTTAAATCAACATAACTCGGGTGATGAATGGTTAACAGGCATCGGCGGGTGAGGAGGGTGACGGGGAATCGGGACGTGCAATGCGCTCCATTTATGGAAGCTATTACGGCCGAATTTCAGCGTTAAATGTATGATTTATGGCCGGGCGTATTATCTTCGTTCATGTCCGTCGACGATACAGTGCACGTCCCACCGCCGCCGCTCTTCCGCCTCTCTCGCTGCTGG